AGAGACATTAGAAGGAATTACCGGGATAGGGCCTGTGCCGGTTCGTTATATCCCTCAGCTTGACAGGACAAAGAGGTGCCCAGGTATTTGGTTAAGCGTGATTGTGGGTATTTCTGTGAGGGTGTTCCTGGATGAGAAGAACATTTTAACTGGCAAATTAAATAAAGTAGATTGCTTTTCCGTTGTGGGAGAGACTCAACTGAAATTGAAGACCTGATAGAACACAAAGACTGAGTAAGAGAATCCTGTCTTTCCCTGCCTGTATTGAGCTTGAACATCAGTCTTCTTTGGTTAAGCGTGATTGTGGGTATTTCTGTGAGGGTGTTCCTGGATGAGAAGAACATTTTAACTGGCAAATTAAATAAAGTAGATTGCTTTTCCGTTGTGGGAGGGACTCAATTGAAATTGAAGACCTGATAGGACACAAAGGCTGAGTAAGAGAATCCCGTCCTTCCCTGCCTGTTTTTGAGCTTGAACATCAGTCTTCCGCTGCCTTTGGACTCAGACTGCAACTTACACCATTGGCTCACTTGGGTCTCCAGCTTGTGGACTGCACATCTCAGGAATTCTCAGCCGTCATAAAAGCCAATTCCTAATTATCTATCTATCTTTATATCTATCTATCTATCTATCTATCTATCTATCTATCTATCTATCTAGCATCTATCTATCTATCTATCTACTATCTATCTATCTATCTATCTATCTCTCATCTATTCTGTTTCTCCAGAGAACCCAGAATAATGCAGGGCTCTGCTGGACAAAAGAAAATTGTATGTTTCTATTTACTGTGATTTCTACGTATAGTTATGAACCTGGAAAGGCCTATCCAATGTACCCAGCCACAACACATCTGGTGAACATCATCCCCAAGTTCAATGCCACAGGGAGGGACCTGCTAAAGAACCTGTTGAAATATAACCCAGTCCAGTGCATCTCAGCAGAAGAGACCCTATAGTATACCTACTTCTCTAACTTCTGCCCCACCCCAAGATTTCTACGTATAGTTAAGAACCTGGAAAGGCCTATCCAATGTACCCAGCCACAACACATCTGGTGAACATCATCCCCAAGTTCAATGCCACAGGGAGGGACCTGCTAAAGAACCTGTTGAAATATAACCCAGTCCAGTGCATCTCAGCAGAAGAGACCCTGTAGTGTACCTACTTCTCTAAGTTCTGCCCCACCCCCAGGCTGCAGGACCCCAGCCATCATGCTGTGGGCCAGCCTAATTCATTCCCTCCTGGGAGGAGAGGAAATGGAAGGATGCATGGTGCGCTGAACTCCAGGTGTGCCAGGAGGGAGATACCCAGCCTGTGTTCTGCATTCCCTGGGAAAGTCGGTATATTTATTTAAAACTATTAATAATTCCAAATAGACATTGTAACTATTATTAGAAGCACACTGTTAATTGTTCAACTTAAAATATTAAGAAAAAAATGGCTCTACAGTTATCAGCTAACAGCTGGGCAGGCAAATTCAAACAGAACATAAACAATCTCAGAAAAATGTAAAAGGTAATCAGACAAGGCCACTCCATGACTGTGGTGGAACAAGACGGTTCTGCCATCATGTTCGAAACTAGACAGAAGCAAGGATACTCTGCAACCACAAAAATAATGAAAATGTCCCTTTTTCGGTTCACGTAAGTGCTTACTGTTTCTTTGTTAATGACAACTCTCACCTATCTTTCATGCTTCCATCTCCCTGATAACAATCATGAAATGATTTCTACTTCCTAAGAGAATCCAAACCAAAATGGGCCCCAGCCTCCCTAAACCTGGTTTAATCACTCAACTCAGCACAAAGCCTACAGTGAATCCCATTCCATCCCCTTCATCCTGAAGACCCCAAAGCTTATCCTTTACTCAGCAAGTTAAGTAAACCTAACAGTGTCAGATGAGCTCCTGACAGCTGCTGCCAGGTGCTCTTGGACATAACCTTACACAAGGAAGCGGCTGCTTGCTCAAGGTCACATTGTACCGAAAGAGGGAGAGGTTATGCAAACAGATAAAGCTCCAGTTACACAGAAAATCTCAACAGAAAACAAAGCAACTCACTAAAATGCATTAAAAGAAAAAGGAATAAACCACTAAATAGGAAGGAAAGCAGGAAGGTAGGGAAGGAGGAAGGATAGAGGGAGGGAGAAATGAGAAGAATGAAAGGAGGAAGGAAGGGAGGGAGGAAAGGAGGTCTGACCAAGAGAAGGGTCTTGTGAAAGGATTGAAGTATTATCTACTAATTTGATTGTTAAGCAACCCAAGCCTCAGATTAAATGAGATCAATCACATTGGTGCTGTATTAACTCAACACACTTATCATCATCTTTCTCATCATCAGCATCATCACTCTCAATGTTGTATGATCACCAGTCCCTGCTGATGCCTGTTAACACGCTGCCTGTTCACTCATTATGCACAAGCAAACAAAACCATTTGCCTATTTGAGCAAATTAAAAGCCTGTTCATGTATCACACATGCAAAGGGAGGGGACAAAACAGAACTCACGTTGAGCTGAAGTTCATCTGTCCACTGTCCAATCAGACGGTAACCCGGGTTCGTGGTGTTGGTCATCTGGTACTGAAAGATGTCATACCGCCCCGGGGCATCTCCATTCTTGTTAAACATGACTGGGGTGCCAGCGCTCCCTGCAGAAGGCAAGAAAATGACAGATTTTAGAGTGAAGCCAGGTTCCTTCCATCTCTTGTGCCACTGGTGATGGTCTAGAGACCTGCTAATGGACAAGATAGCTAATGCATAGCCCCGTTGTTTAACAGGTTCCCCCCCAAATGGCCTCTAAGACTCACAGGCAAGCCGTCACTGGGGCCGACAGATGCTACTGACAGGAGGTGGGAAAACAAACTGCTTCTTTTTATGAACAGTTCTGTTTCTCAGCATTTCTTAATAGTTTATGTTAATCTTTTTATTATGGAGAATAAAAATAAATTTTTTTCTAAACTACTTCAAGTTTATTATAATTAATTATTACTGTTTCGCCTCCAACCACCTAAATTGTGGTCAGTAAAGAGCCATTTTTAAAATAGTAAACAAATACATAAACTTAAAAAGGGGCATGCCGGATTTAAAAAAAAATACATAAAAGCAAACAAGCAAAAAAGTTTACTTAGAAGGTACTTGGATACTGATTGCATTGATAAATATTTTGGCTATTTCTAAGTTACTTGATATGATTAACAGTATAAAATGCTTAGCAGTGTGCCTGGCATATGTTTTATAAATATTAACTTATTTCTCAATCTCTCACTTGAACCTCACGTTTAAAATGTTCATCTTAAGAGGAAACCAATAGGTTTATTTAGAGTATGTTAGAAAGATAGAGAGTGAAAGATACAGAAAGAAAAGGGTACATATCTTTGAAAGTAGGGTATGAGCGAAAAGTCCCTTAATATCAATCCCATAGAGCAATAGGCAAGCCACACACAGAGAGTGAAACTTGTGAGTTTGGGTTAGTTCCCGGGACAGTTACAAAGGAGTCGCCAAAAGTTTGGCAACTGGGTGCAGTTTTTCTCCCCTGGGTTCACTGGAAACAGGACAGATGTGGGTGGTCTCAGGTGTGAGGCTGATCTCTGCTCTGCCTTTGGGTTAACACTGGATATTCCTCATAACAAATGATGCTCTAGTTCCTGCCTTTTACAAGGAAGTTTACAGGGAGTTTACAAGCTGAAATAAAATCACTGGGAACAGAAGTTCATTTTGCTATTTTGGGAGAGAAGGATGAGGCACTTTTGTGAATTCTGGCTGTAAATTGAAGACTCATGGTGGCAGAGCTCTGCATCTGGCTAAGGAAATCATTAGCCTCTGCAGAGTTTGGGCCACGGTGGCATTTACGTGAATGATCTGCATGAAAGAAAAACAAAAGCATGTTAACTGGAGGGAGGCAGTCCTTGAATGGTAGGAAAAGATGCCAGCGCTTAGGAAGCAGGCAAGCTGGCGAAACTGGTCCCACACAAGTGACCACTCAACACAGGAAGGGAGTCAGAAAAGGGTCCAATAAGAGGAACAAGAGGCAGACAAGGCTGCAGTCCTGTGCTGAAAGTGACCCCCACGGAGAGGGTTTGTCCAACATTATTGGCAGAATACAGAGGCAATTAAAGAACTCCACACCATCTCACAACTGTCAGGCACAGGATTTTATGACATTTGTAGTATTAAATTTTTTTAAAAAAAATCAGAGCTGTGGTAGGCGAAATAATGGCTCCCCAAATCTGTCCATGTCCTAATCATCAGAACCTGTGGATATTGCCTTTCGGGGCCAAAGGCTTTTTTTTCAGTGATGACATTAAGGATCATGGTGGACAATCTAGGTAGATCCAGTGTAATTATAATGGCCCTTAAACTGAGAGGCAGCAGGAGTCAGAGGAAGGAGATGGGAAGATGAAAACAGGAGGTTGGAGTGACGGAGGCAGGGGTCATAGCCAAAGAGTGCAGGTGGCTTTCAGGAGCTAGAAAAGGCCAGGGACTCTCCCCTCAAAGCTCCAGAAGAACAGCCTTGCCTTCACCTTAAGTAAAACCCAGTGAGATCTGTGTCAAACCACACAGCTATAGTACATTTGTGTTGTTCAAGCCATTAAACTTATGGCTCTTTTATAGGGTATCAGTAGGAAACTACTACAGAGCTGGAGGACACAGGACATTGAACTTCCTAATTTTACAGACACAGTCCTTAGGTTCAGAGAGGGGAAGTCACTTGTTCCAGGGCCACTCAACTAATTAAACTAGAATAGTGTATGGTAACTGGCTTTGGAATCCCCTAAAACAGGGGTGACCTTTATTAAATTATTCAATCTCCCTCTACATCTGACGGTCACTAGTGATTTTTCTCATAGTGTTAGTAAGAATTAAATGTAACAATATACCTAACGTGCTTAGTTCCATGCCTGATACATAAGTGCTCAACAGATGGTAGTGAGATTCCATAGTTGGTTGGTTGGTTGTTTTTAATCCTCACCGGAGGATGTTTTCCCATTGATTTTAGGGAGAGTGGAAGAGAGAGGGAAAGACAGAGAGAAATATCGAAGTGAGGGGAACCCATCGATTGGTTGCCTACTTCACACACCCCGACCAGGGCCTGCCTGCAACCGAGGTACGTGCCCTTGACCGGAATCGGGACCCTTTGGTCTACAGGCTGATGCTCTATCCACTGAGCCAAATCAGCTAGGCTAGGGCATATAGTTGTTTTTATTTTTATCATTGTTTTGTTGGCTAATATCTCAGGACCAGAACACATGCCTTCAGACACCCAGACTCTCCAATGTGCCAAAGCTGACTCTCCTAATGGGTACCTAATTTCAATTTCTCCATCAGGATAAGCATCTTTTGTTTTCCAAAAAGTGGGCACTATCTATGAGTTATGCAGGTGTTGTCTCACCAGCTTGAGTCAGTTTGGCCAATTTGTTTCATCTACATTGTACCTAGTCACTACCCTCAGAGCCCATAAAGGCATCCGCTGTATCCCAATGGGATCTCTGAAGCTCTCTCTCTCTCTCTATAGGAAATACAGGAGCCTTTCCAGTACAGACAGAAGATAAACAAGAAGTTTTTAATATTAGCTTTCTCCTTCCAGTGAGCCTTCCAAGTATATAAGAACAAACAAAGTCCGCATTTTATATATTATCAGCAAGAAAATAACCCTATCATTTTGCAGGAAGATAGTAATATCTTGCTCATCTTCCTCTGCTTTCACATTGGGTATTAGGATCTGCTGTAATTGTATAGCTTCTAGTCATTATGAAATATGATGAGCTTTTCATTGTCTTTGAGAGGAGAGAAGAATATTGGAGGCCTGGGACTCTGAAAGGTCTCAGGCCACCAGCTAAATATTCACCAGAATGGGACACACCATCTAATCGCTCTCTCTTCCTATAATCTTTGTTAGGCAAAATGACTCTTGTCATGCCCTTTCCATTCTCATTAAAGTTCATGCTTTAAAAAATTAAGACAGAAGAGCTGAACACTTTATCTAAGTGATGACTTGTAATAGCATATGTGGTTTTGACCTTTCTGATGGATTCTGTAAAGCTAATGGATTATTATTTCCACTTATTTTTTCTACAATACCTTTTTAACAGCTTCCCTGGGTTTCTTAAAAGAGAAAAAATTGGGATTATGTTCAATGAAGTCTATACAGGGATGGACAAAAGTAGGTTACATAATACTAATAAATAATACAATAATTAGCTCTAGCTAGGCTTTTCATTGGTTATAGGGTCATCCTCATACACTAAGATTGAGGGTTTAGTCTCTGGTCAGGGCTCATACAAGAAGCAACCAACAAATGCATGGATAGGTGGAAAACAAATTGATATTTCTCTCTCTCTTTCTATCTCTCCTCCCCTTCCTCCTCTCTCTCTTTAAAACTAAGCAGTATTTTTTTGAAAATTACAATACTTACTAAATAATAATACAAGAATAAACTGTTTCACATACTTGTAACTGTAAACCTACTTTTGCCCACCATCATATCCTATATAATAAAGAGCTAATATGCAAATGGTCATCAGGCCCTCGCACCCTTGTGCCCTTTTGCCCTCCTGCCCTCGTGCCAGGGCTGGGGACCTGAGGCCATGCCCCCCACCTGGTGGGGCTTGATGGGGGACCTGAGGCTGTGCCCCCTGCCCTGCAGGGCTTGATGGGGGTGGGGCCATCCGGGTCTGGGTCTTGCACGATTTCAAGGTGCATGCAGGTGAGTGGGGACTTGACTCTGGGTCATGCGGCACGCCCCAGACTCTGACAGGAGGAATATTTTCATATACATTTACTAATTTTCTTTCATCTCTGACACTTCTATTATAGAGAAAGGGCAAATAGCAATATTAAAATATTTCCTCTAATTCCCTTTTAATGTGCATAAATTTTGTGCACCAAGCCACCAGTATATATGTATGTGTGTGTGTGTGTGTGTGTGTGTGTGTGTGTGTAAATATATATGATCACAGTGGTCCAGAGAAGAGAAAGAAGTTATCAAAGAAGAAGTGATCTGCAGAAATGTCTCCAGGTATCAGGGCTGGGATGCAGGTCATTGAGGTAGTGGAAACGGGGCCACTAGACAAGATGGCATAGTGGGAAGCTGGGTGACAGGATGTGCTCAAGCCTGAAATCTCTATTGGATCAGAGTATCTGAATGAAGCCCTTTCTTCCTGGTAGAGAAGAACCTAGGATCTCGATTGCTCAGGTGTCCAAACAGTCCTCTGCATCAAGGTACTGACAAGTTTCCTGCTCTTACTTTCGCACCCCATGTACAGACTCCAGAAACATGGCACTGATTTGTGTTCCATTTATCTAGCACTGCTCAGCACACTACCCTAAACCTTTGTGCTCCAAATAATAACAACCCATATTTTGCAATTTGGGCAGAGTTTGGGGACAGCACCTCTGGTCCCCTCATGTCAGCTGGGCAGCTTGAAGCCCACATGTCTCACAGTTGCTGCCAGCTGCCAGCTGGGACCTTAGCTGGGGCTGTGGTAGGAACACCCACATGTGGCCTGTCTATTTGGCATCTTGGCTTCCTCCCAACATGGTAGCTGTGTCCGCAATACAAATGTCCTGAGAGAATGAGGCAGAAGCCTATTCACCCATATGCCTTAGAAGTCAGATAGTGTCACTTCTGCATCAGTCACACACTCTTAGATTCAAGAGGAGGGAGCACAGAGCTCACCTCTTGATGAAGGAAAGCTAACTTCTCGTTTCAAAAAGAGCACATGAGCCCTGGCCAGGTGGGCTGGGGCATCATCCCAAACATCCTAAGGTTGCGGGTTTCATTCTGATTCAGGGCACACACCTAGGCTGTGGGTTCCATCGCCAGCTGGGGTGCATATAGGAAGCGGTCAACTGATGTTTCTCTGTCTCTCACCCTTCCTGCCTCTCTAAAAGCCAATGAAAACATATCCTCCTGTGAGGATTTTTAAAGAGCACATGATATGTGGCATCTTTACAAAATATACTGACACCCAATTCATCTTCTGGAAACTAGGAAATCTAGGTACAGGCACACACCAGATTAAATATGCCATTGTATAGCAATTCCCTAAGATGTTGTAGCCAAGACAACACATTTATTAAATTTACATCTACAGGTATTGACAATTGGTTAGATGGGCCAATGTAGACATTACTACATAAATCAAATTTAGGCTCAGGTCATTGCATTCATTTGGGATGCAGAGAAAAACATGGCCAGAAGTGATGAATTTAAAAGTAGTCATCTTTTCTCTTGGTGCATCATAAGAAGAGGATAAGTGCTTGGTGAAACGATAGCAATATTTTCGGGACATTCTATTATCATTTCCTAAATTGATGCTTTGGTGAATGTGAGGGCCAGAGTTATTAAACTGTGCCCTATTGGTCTGGAATAAAACTCCCAGGGGTGCAGAAAGTTTTGTATTAAAGTAACAGAAGAGAACAATTAGGCTTTGTTGAGACCAATAAAATCAAAACCCTACTAAACCATGCAAAAGAAAGGCTATATTTTTTACAATAGGCTAGGAATAGACTTGCTTTCTAGATCTGTCTCTGTCATTTGCTAACTGTGAAGTCTTGAACAAATATTTCCTCCTCTCTAGTATTTTATTTCTTTATATAAAAATCAAGAAATTAAATGAGTGACAAATGTCAAATTTCTTTCACTAATAGCTCTTCACTTCAAGTGATATGGAATCCATTAATTAAATCCAGCACAGGTTCTGTTTCACAAAACTGCCAAGCCCCACCATCAACAAACGTCACAGTGCCCCGGGAGCCAGCAGCCTCCCAGTTGTCCTTATGACAGAAAAAAAGTCCTCAGAGAACAGGCGATTATGTGGACCACAGGGCAGGATTGCAATGAGGACAGAGAGAGAAAAAACAATCGATCCTGCCTGGCACCTCCCACAGAGCATCCACTCTGAGATGAAGAAGCAGGAATAAAGTAGTCAACCCTTCCTCTCAGACATTTACAGGGGACAGCCTGTAGAGTTAGGTGCCCAAGGACCAGTGTGGCATCATCACTACCCAGATGTGTGGCTCTGAATATCATGATTCTTAATTCTCTGTGAAGTTTCCTTATCTTAAAAAGGGTAAATAATAGTGCCTACACTGTGCTGGTGTTCTAAATATTAGGTAAGCCAACACAGGTATGTAGCACACTTTCTGGCACACAGTAATCATTCCATAAACATGGGTCCTGTGTCTCATCGGAAGCTCAGCATCTCTGGCTCATCAATGGACAAGACCGTTTTGACAAAATGATTCTATAGAGCACTATTTGGAAGAAGAATCAGGGAAGAGTCACCAAGAACAGTCTCAAAGCGATAATTCTGGTCACTCTTGTAAGAATGGTTATCCATATCTGTGAACCAGAATACCAAGCCCAGAGACTGACCCAGCTAACGGAATGCAGTGTTTAATAAATAATGAAATTCACATGTGTCTGTCTCTGGGAAAATTAATTCTATATGTTAGGAAATTCTGTAAAATCAGGAAGAAACTATAAAATGAAGATCATTTATTCTGGTTTTACACACAGTCATTTTGTCTCCATCTAAACCAGAGAACTGTTGATCCCCAAACAGGCTGTGGTTCCTCTTCATCCAAATACTAGAGAACTCCTGGAAGATCGATATAATATTGTGGGTTTAAGTGGATTGTTGTTTATAAGCAGAAAAGCGAGAAGGCTTCCTTTAACATTAATATAATGACCTGAGCCAGTAAATTAATATTGATTAATACTATTTAAAACTCATCTGCAAATTTTATTAAAATGTCTCCATTGTCTCACTAGTGTCCTTTTTCCGGTAGAGGAGCCATTAATTTTCCCACACTGCATTTAATGGTAATGTCTCCTTAGTCTCTCCCAGTCTGGAACAATTCCTCCACCGGCCTTGCTCACGACGTGAATACTCTGGAAGAGTACTAGCCAGTTATTTTTTCCTATGTCTCCTTATGATTAGATTGAGGCATGTATTTTGGCAATAAGACCTCAGAAGTGATGTTGTAACCTTCCCCCATGTTAAGGTTGTATCTGAAGGCCTCTTCTGTGTCTCAAAGCCTGAGAAGTAGGAGCACCCATGTCTGAGGGCAGGAGCAGAGGGAGAGAGAATTTGCCCTTCTTCTGCCTTCTAGGTCTCTTCAGGCCCTAGGTGGGGGGAGGGGGTTGGAGAAAGTCCACCCACCTTGGGGAGAGCCCTCTCTCCTTTACTCAGTTCACCAAGTCAAATGCTAATCTCTTCCAGAAACACCCTCATAGACGCACCCAGTGGTACTGTTTTGCCAGTTATCTGAGCATCACTTTGCCCAGTCACATTGACTCATAAAAATTAATCATCACATGGTTAACAAAATTCAATACGATCATGAATAAACCTGACTATATTGCAAATTAAACACAGAACCACACTGAAGAGAGTGAACAAATACAAAAAATGAATGCAAATATTTTAGGAAGACAGTATTTGAGTAAACACTGTAAGACTGGAGACAAAAATAACTGTATAGAGATAGTGTACAATAACTAATAAATATGTGTGTTTTTCACAGTTCTGAATTTATATTCACTGAGGCAGAATTTGACTTCATATAAGAACCTATTTTAAGCAAAGGAGGACAAACCATACTCCCAAATATTTACTCACTCGTTCACTCACTACTCTCTCACTACTCACTCATTCATATATTGACTCAATCTTTAAAATCAGATCATCAACCATGTCTTGACACATACTGAAGAGTAAATAATCATTCAACATGTAACTTATAAAGCAGAACGCCAACACAGGACTCCTAAAAACCACAGGTGCTTGGAGACTCACCATTGAAATTCACGTTGCGGATGTACTTCAGCAACTTCTTGCCCCCAGCTTGCTCCATCTCCGGACAGACGCCCCGGTAGTCAGCACAAAGATCCTTGTTCATGTGGTGCAGGGCATGAGCCATCGCGTAGACGGCGTCTATCACGAACTGAACTTTCCCCTCCTGCTCATAGTTAGAATCTTTTCCAATTCTCTCCTGTCCTGCACATTAAAACAAGAAGCACACAAAGATTGGCGTTGAGTAGAATGTCTACATTTGTCTTTACTTTCAACTACGCTTAAAGCAAACAATGTTTTGAGGACCAGGACAGTGCAAGCCACACAGCCACATGTAACTACATTATTAGGTAATTTTTAGTAGTTGACTTTGGAGCATATCACACTAATCTTTCCAGTCATTATTACATGAACTTTAGAAGCAGCCACTACACTATTCAAAATGTGGTGGTCCCATAGAATCGAGGGATCACTGGGATTAGGAGCTGGGCTGCCACATTCAAATCTTTAAAGCTCACTTACTCTAAAAAGGTGAGAGGCCGGAAGGAAAACGATGGAAAACAGATGAAATTCCACACGGAACTCACTACCTTCTCTATATCTACTCCACCTACCTTCTGTGTTGACTGTCTCAATCATTGGTATTACTGGGAACTCAGATACTTGGGCTAAAACATCTGGTGTCATTTTTCATTGTTTCCTGACTCTGACTCCCCATTAACCACATACATGTATATGGAGCTAATGAATAGCCAAGCTCTATCAGTTCTACCTCTGATTCACTGAACAGTTTTGGCCAAACTAAAAATGCCCTACCTATGCGCTCCTCATCTCCCATCCGGATGCAAGGCCACGTGTCTCCATCTCTTCATTCCTCTGTGTCCTCTTTCCTGCTACAAAGCTCACCACTTCGTCCCCATGCTCCAAATGCTTCAATGGCTCTCCGTTGCCTCCAAGCCCTTTCCACGGACAACTGAGAATGCCCACACCCATCTGCCTAGTAACAGTAAGAACTGACATTGTGTCCCCCACCCCACTGTGTGGGAAGCTTGGCATACATTATTTACAGCCTCACTTTGTGAGATAAATATTATTTATCCTCGTTATCCAGATGGGAAAGCTGAGCCTGATAGAGATTAGATCATCCTTCCATCGTCATTTACAGACAGATCAATGATGACCATTCAGGCGTGTCTGGCCCCAAAGCCTTCTCCCTATGTTGGCCTATCCCAGGCTTTCCCTCCATTTTTTATTGCCAGATAGGTACACTTTTTTATTGTTGTTCCAGACAGGTACTTTTTTTTTTATTGTTGTTCCAGACAAGTATATCTATTTTTTTCCTGAATACATCATAAACTCCAATGTTAAACAATCTTTGCTCATGTTCCTTACTTTGCTAGAAATGTCCTTCCCCCTTGCTTTTGCCCATCATAATTTAATTTTCTCTCCATGGCACAATTCAATGGCAGCCTACACTGAGCCCCTCAATCACGATGAACAATTTTACAAAACATTTCAAATCTTTATTGTAACATTAATAATAGCACTATATTTTAATGCTCTAACATTTCATTTCTTTTCTTACATTCCCAACACTGAACAAAGCATTTAGTATCTAGCAAATTCTAAACAACAGTTGTATTAAATTACACAGTCATTTAGTTCAAGGTACCAGGAACTCTCTTTAGACCTCCTGTCCCTCTATGAGAAATAATTAGCCACAGATTGCCTTCCTCTTTCATAGCACCAATCTCCAAATTGTTTCCTACAGCACATTTGTGCAGTAAAGACACAACAGGAATTTTGCAACCCCATCTTATTCTCCTGCGAAGGGTTTCTGACGGTTAAATAGTTGTAGACTTCTTTACCAGAGAATTGTTCGGAGCATTTACTTTTATAAAATATATATATATGTATGTATGATTTCCAAGAAGAAAACTCAGAATTTCCCAAATTTACTTGAATTTGCATCTTTCCTTTTCAGAGCACACATCACGATATTATATGACAGACACTTATGTGGTTTATGTGCATATCACTTAAATAACAACCAACTGATGCTCACTGCTAGTTACTTGATTTAGGCCTTTCAGCATGTTTAGAGTAAGATTTTTTTAAATGTGTTTTTATTGATTTTTAGAGAAAAAGAGAGAGGGAAAAAGAGAGGAACATTAGTGTGAGAGTGCAACATCAACTGGCTGCTTCCTGCACGCCCTCTACCAAGGATTGAGCCCCGCAACCCAAACACATGCCCTGACCACGAACTGAACCAGCAAATGGTACACAGGATGACACCCCACCAACTGAGCCACACAGGCCAAGGCTAGGGTGGGAATTTTTTTTTTTTAAGATAAAATTCCTCATGAATTCCTACTGCTACTTCCAATTCAAACCCAGGACTAGTGGGTGTTTCCTAACCTTGGCACTCATACACCTCTACCTCCCCTTTTCCTGAGAAAAATCCTCATTCCTAATGATACTGTTATGAATATTCATTCACTTTATCCCATGATATGCAGATAACATTGTAAGAAAAACCATCATGTCTAACAAACAGTCTAATGTAATGTAATGAACAGCCTTGTGCAAATATGTGCTTTTCAATTTTCGTCTGGGTATTTTGGTGATAGATTCTGAGAAGTGGGGCTGCTTTGTTAAAGAGTAAATTCATATGTATTTTTGCTAATTATTGGCAGATTCCTCTTTAACAGGTTTGCACCATGTTGCTTTTCCAGAAACAAAAGATGAGAGTGTTCATTTCCCTACCACCTCACCACCCAAGTGTATTGTCAAACTTGGATTTTTAATCAGATATGAAAAAAATGCAACAAGTGTGTTTTTATTTTTCTTATTTTAGGGGAGGTTGAACATCTCCCTTTAAAAAAGCCATTATATTTCTTTTTCTGTAAACAGTCTATAATCTAGCCAATTGTTGTAAAAAGTTGTTGGTCATTTCTCTCATTTTAAAGGCTTTTTATTAATTTAACATATTAATTCCTTGAGATTAAGTTGCAACTATTTGTCCAAGTTTGTAATTTTTCTTTAACTTTAGGTATTTCTTTTGAAAAAAAATTACATTAGGTAAAAATTGTTTTGTTTTTAAAATGATCAGTTTCTTTTATTCTTATTGCTTCTGGATTTTCAGTCATGGTTGGAAAGAAATGTCCCCACTCTCAGAGTATAGAAGATCCATATATTCTTCTAGAATTTGTTTATTAAAGATATATATTTGATCCGCTTAAAATGTATTCTGCTGTACAGTATGAAAAATAAATGAAAATTTATCTTTTTCCACATAGCTCTTCAGTTATAACATATACCAGTTGAGCTTTTCTCACCGATTTGAAGTGCTGCCTTTATTATATACGAAATGTCCATATAAATTGGGTCTCTTTCAGGATTTTAAAAATTTGTTTCATTGTACCAATATTACAGTTTCACTTATAAAAGTTCTATGATATATTTTAATAACTGACAGGTTACCCTTCTCTCTCACTGTAAGTGTTCACCCACCAAAATTGTTCATGTTTCCCATATTTTCCTGGTTGTTTTTATTTATTTATTTACTCAAATAAACTTTATCACCCATTTATCTAGCTTGAGAAAGAAAAAACCCAATGGTACATTATCTGGGCTTATGATGTATTTATAAATGAACTTAGCTAAAACATCTTTATGTAGGTGAGTCTTTCTATCTGTGTCTTTCCATTTGCTCAAGGTTTGCTTTGCCTCCTTCAATAGTGTTTTAAAGTTACTCTCATGTAGGTTTGAGTGTGTTGGTGAAGCTAGCCTACCTATGAGATTTACTTTTGCTAATATAAATATCAGATACATATGTATATATATACATACACACACACACACACACACCTCCTATATAAGAGATAATATGCTAATTAAACTGGACAGCTGTTCTGGAATGACCAGTGGGAGGGGCTGTGGGGCTGCAAGGCACCCGGGGTGCAAGGGCTGAGCCCCTTGCACAAATTTCGTGCACCGGGCCTCTAGTGTGTGAGTGTGAATGTGTGTGAATGTGTGTGTGTGTGTGTGTGTGTATAAAAGTCATTTTTTTGTTTTATTGTGGTTACTATTTTTCAGCTCTCACAAAACATTTTAAACATAGTGCAAGTTTGAAAGAATTTTCCAGTGAACCCACCATCCAGATTCTTATATTAACATTTTACTATACTTATTTTATAGGGCCATTCATTTTCTAATATTCCTTTAAAACCTGCTACTTTACAAATTTCTCTTATGATTTATAGTACTTAAAAGAGGCAATCTTGAAGGCATTATGACCACTATAAAATATATACTATGAAATGGGTTCAGACTAATAATTCAGGAGAGCAGTTTCTGAACCGCACTCATAAAGACATTCATCCCAGAAAGAATGCCTTGAAAAATAATTGCAATGTTTTAAATAATGAACCATTTTATTATTTGTGAAATACTGCAGGCTTTATCCCTCTCTTGGAGAGTCACCAGGTACCTTAGCATATTAAAGGCTCTAAGACTTACAGGATACATTTGTCTTTGGGGTTACCAGGACTAGAAAAAAGGAACTTATATCAAAAAAATCAGAAGTGGCCAGTTCATTAAAAAAAAAAAGTTTGAAGTTACTTCCCCTGCTGTGGCAGACACACTGTCTGTCCCTTTCTGAGAGTTTCTGGTTACTCATTTACCACCTGCCTCTCCTCCCCTAACAGAACTCTATTCTCTGGATGTTGGTGGCCTACTATAGGGGTGAGCGGCTCTGGACTTCTCTTGAGCCTCAGAGTCAATTCTGTTTGTTTAACTCAATCCGATTTCCTCCCCAAGGGCTAATTTAGGAACAGGCATGGTATCTAATTCTAACCAGTGAGATGGAAGAAAGGAGTTTAGTTGGGAGATCCTGAAAAACTTTATTTGCTTTAAGAAATAAAAAGATGGGCTCAATTGTATCAAAAGCAACACACACACACACACACACACACACACACACACACACCCCCTCTGCAGTTACTCTAGTCACTTTGTGGTCCTGAGGAAATTACAAAGCATAAAAATGACAGCAGGATAAAAATGTGTTAGAGAGATGAAGGTACAATTGATGTGTGAGTTGCCAAATATTTTCCAAATTATTTGAACACTACACTTCTTATCCATACACCACTTAATAACATTCTAATGGACAAGCATTAAGCATGCCGCCCCCACAACCA